TATATATGAATCGCGTTAATTTACTGGAAAAAAATAATAAAGATTATTATCTTTTACAAACTCAGATATCTATATTTCTTGCTCTACTTCCCACAAGATTTCATTAGGATTTCATATTCCTTATTATTTTTCTTGGTATTTGATGTGCAAGGTTGAATAGCTACAAATGGATTCGATCTCCTCAACATCAAAATAATTAGATCAACAGGCTACTGCTTCATTCAACAAAATAAAGGAAATCAATATAACTACATCACTTAAATTATTGATGTCTCATATCAAAAATGTGGCCAACACACCTCTAACACAAGAGAAATTATCATGTGTGGGAGGTACAAATCTATAAACTTCTTATAGTTAATGGATTTGATTCCATCTTAGACAACACTCTTCCAATCCCACCAAGATTCATTTAAGATGAGAATGGTGCCACTATAAAAAATCAAGATTATCAACTGTGGCTACTCATAGATCGTAACCTTTTTGTTGGAATCTGCTTAGCCATTTCTGCCTCCATTCTTTCATATATTCTTCATCTAAGAAACACTACTGAAATATGACATACATAGGAAAATAAACTTCAATCAACAAATCAATTAAGAGTTATTCAACTCAAGAATTAACTACACAATATCAACCTGGTAGTAAATACAATGAATCAATATCTCACGGTAATCAAGAGCTTGGTGGATAATATTGCAACTTCAGGTTCAAAGATTGATACGAAAAACATTATTCTTATACTTTGACTGGATTGTCACCAAACTATCAGGGGTTCAAGACCTCCATTAGAACAACCTTGAACTTGATTAGCTTAGATAACTTTTACTGACTATTACAAAGAGAATGATGAAACATTCCAAATGAATCAACCAAAACAACTCATTAGTGAGCCTTACTAGCTCATAAAATCAAAGGGGGCGGAAACATCAAAGAAACTTCACCAAAACTTTCTCAAATACCAAAAACATGCCCAACAACAACATTTCAAAAACTAAAACCCAAGTATTTTGTCAAATTTGCAATAAAAAATGACATATAACTACTCATTGTTGGCATAAAACCAATCTTAAAGCCACTCCAACCCCTCAAGTTACTACGCTTACCACTCACCTCAATAATCAATCACAAGAATGAGTTTTAGTTAACTAGGCCACAACTCATCTTACATCTCAAACCCTCTAGATTTTGAGCTCAAAATTGAGCTCAGGCAGTGGGCTTGCGTGGCTGAAGATGGCAGGGCTGGACTCAAGGCAGCTTGGAGAGGCTCTGGAAGCAATTGGTGGAGTTTCCTTAAGGATTTGACACTTCTCCATGCATGGCCATGGAGGGGGCATTTATAGCTGAGGCCAATGGGGAGGCTTCAAGCTTTGATTGGCTGGTGTCAATAAGCTTATGTGGAGTGCTAAGCTGCATCATTGACCAATCAAGGTTAGACACATAAGATGATTAAAATTTGAGTTCAAAGGTGGGGTTTTCGATTTTGGATTTTCTGGCCACTACCAGCCTAAGGGAGGTGGCTAGATGGCTCCAGTTACTAAGGGGGAGGTTTAATGGTGATCAAGATGGACGTTTAATCAGGTGAGCTCAAACTTAAGTCACTTGGTTAAAAATAAGAGGGAATCCTCTAAATCATGGGACCCTTGGTCCATGGAACCTCTAGGGTGGACTAGGAGGATCTAGGCTGGTTCTTAGGGTCCAAATGTCAGTTGTGGTGGTCCAAGATGGACTGAACCAATCAACTCCAAGTGGATTTAGGGTTTGGGTTCAAATTTAGGGTTTTGGCTTAGACTTTGGTTTGAGTTTGGATTTGGGGCAATTGGAAAGTTCAATTTGGTGTAGAATATTGATATGAGGAGTTTTGGAATCAATTGAGTAAAAATTTGAGAGGCTATGGGGTTTAATTTGGTGAGAATTGGAATTTTGGGCAAAATTGGGGATTTTGGTTTGGATTGAGTTTGGACTAGATTTGAGGCTAGGTCAAGGCCAATTGAGAGCTCAATTTGGTCTATGGGAATGTTATGAAGAGTTTAAAAAGTGAATTTGGGAAAATTGATTAGGTTAGGGCATTCAATTTGGTTCGTGGCAGACATTGATTGAGCACATGTTCACTACAACACAGAATAAGGGGGAGAAACACATGTGCGTGGGTGAGGATTTCTGGGATGACTTGAATAGAGTTGAGGCCCCTTCGAATTATCAGATGAAGAGGGAGACAAATCCACTTAATAGGATGGCGAAGGGAGCCAGAGGGGCCGCACTTCACATTGGAGGTTCAAACACCCCACATTGCACTACCGGAGACTGATAAGAATATCAAAAAATTCAAAAACTTAAAGACTTATGTAATTATGTGGCACTTACCATTATCTTATGTACACATGCCAAGCAGCTTAACCGAAAGCCATACAATGAAGAGTTGCATGTCATGATGCATCGATGCCCGGGCACGTAGCAGTGGGTCTCCAACCACTCGCCTTGTCAATGTAAGTAAGAAAATTGATTTCCTATTTTTTGTGGCTATTAATATTTAAATGATAATTTATCTTTGATCCTAATTATGTAGAATGACTACGAACAGCTCCAAGGGAGATAGAGGGAGATGGCTAGTGAGACCTCGATATCTGCCAGCAGCAGTGGCAGCCAGTCTACCACTACTCAGTCCAATTTTAAGCTATGGATACAGGTGGCAGAAGAAGAAGAGGAGAGTGCACGGCTTAGGCACGAAGGGCATTGCATTTGAGGTCGAGTGATCTCATGTTGTTATTAGTAGCCCTAGCTAGTTACTGGCTCAGTATGACTGAGTGGTGGTAGATTGGCTGCCACTACTCAGTCATAATGCCCGCTTTTATTGCGTGCAGCTGCCACTACTCAGTCATAATGCCCGCTTTTATTGTGTGCAGGCTTATCTCCCTATCTCTCTCTCTCTCTCTCTCTATCTCTCATTGCTTATACTCTAATCTTTGAGATGTGATTCACAGACAAATCAAGCTTCAACACATACGAATGATTTTGGTTGTCTAGTTGTAAAAAGCAAAATTTTTGTATTAGATATAGAAATATATAAGAATTAGGTGGTATGCAAATAAATGGCCCAATTTATTTATTAAGTAATTGCGACAAATAAAAATCAAGCTGCACATGTAGTCCATCTGTCCACAAGATTATAAAATATGATTAACATTAATTTCTCCTCCAAGCGGCGAAGAAGCGCACAGTAAACACGTTTCATTAAAAAGTAAAAGCCAGTAGCAAATTTACCAGCCTGTCATTTACTTACCAACCCTAACAATGTCATGAAGAAGGAAAAACCCCACTAGTTCTTGTTATAAATTAAGAGAAGTTCAACTTGGCCATTCATTCTCATAAATCTAAGCTTCAGAGAGTCCAACTAGCCCCAAACACCAGCCATGAGCTCTGCTCGGACACCACATGCGCTCATTCTACCTTATCCTGCACAGGGCCATATCGTTCCAATGATGGAGCTCTCTTATCGTCTCATTGAGCGTGGAGTCCGCATAACGTTCATCAACACACACTTTAACCACAATCGTATTTTCGCTACAAAGGCGTCTGGCCAAGCTACGTTTATTGGCGAGGAGATTGATGGAATCAATTTTGTGGCGATCCCCGACGGCCTTGAACCGGAAGATGATCGGCACGACTTCGGGGGGCTCACGCAATCCTTGATGAAAGTGATGCCAACTTTGTTAGAAGAATTGATTAGAGATAATGGTGGAGAGTTCACCTGCTTTGTTGCAGATATCAACATGGCTTGGGCTCTCAAGATCGGCAAGAATTTGGGGCTTCGGACGGCTGCCTTTTGGCCTGCAGCAGCTCAGCAGCTGGACTTCTTGACGCTATATTTAGCATCCCCGAGCTCATTCAAAATGGAGTCATTGATGAACATGGTAAGTTGTTAAGAGAGAGAGCAGCCAAAAAGGACTTTAAATAATGGATTTTAATGTCATTTAGTGGTAAAAATTAAATAATTATATTATTTTTATCATGTAAAAATTTTATATTTTGGATGTCTTCACTTTACAAAATTTATTTATTTCAACTTATCCTTCAATCAATAGTCCATATTTCTTCTTTTAATTTCAATGACATTATCTTTTTTGATTCATGTTAGTTTATTTTTCTGATTTATCTTTTTTTTTTTGAATTAATAATTTAGGGGCGCTAATGAAGAAGGAAGTTATCCAGTTGAACCCAGGAATTACTCCCTTGGACTCAGCCAACCTCCCCTGGCATTGCTTTGATGATGCATATACAAAAGTAATAATCTTCAACTACTTGATTACCAATAACCAAGCAACTTCTAACGCTGAGATGATGATATGCAATAGCTTTGAGGAGCTTGAAAAGCCTATCTTCAGCAAAATACCACACATTTTACCTGTAGGGCCACTTGATTCAAAATTTGAATCAAGAGATCTTAATTTATGTCAGCTTTGGCCTGAGGATAAGCAGTGCATTGCTTGGCTTGACAAACAATCAACAAATTCTGTTATTTATGTGGCTTTTGGCAGCATCACTATCTTTAATAACAAACAATTTCAAGAGCTAGCACTTGGTCTCGAGCTCACTGGTCGGCCATTCTTATGGGTGGTAAGGCCAGACCTTACTAATAAAACTGTTAATTGCACTTTTCCGTTAGGGTTTGAAGAAAGAGTTGCAAATCGAGGAAGAATGGTTGGTTGGTCTCCTCAACATAAGGTTTTGAAGCATCCTGCAATTGCTTGTTTTGTGTCACATTGTGGTTGGAACTCAACCATAGAAGGATTGAGAAATGGAGTGCCCTTTCTTTGTTTTCCATATTTTTGTGACCAATTGTTCAACCAAAAATATATAACTGATGTTTGGAGGATAGGTTTGAGCTTGACTCGTGATGAGAATGGACTTATTTCCAAAGAGGAAGTTAGATCAAAAGTGGAGGAGTTGCTCAAGGACACAAATATTATCACAAAATCCCTGAGTTTGAAGCAGTTAGCTAGCAGCAGTGTTATGGAAGGAGGGTCATCTCTTAAGAACCTCAACAAATTTGCAGAATTTTTAAGAGAAAATCAAGTCAAGGAGGTTCAAAAATTGGTTTGAATAGTTAGTTTGAATGAACCATGGAGATAAGAATAGAGAATAAAGTTGGGTGATTTGTTGGTGTGAGTTACTAGTGGGATGAGTATTGCTATATTTTCTATGACTTGCAACTCATATTGTAAGTGCTCTCTTTAATGCCAAGTGGATTATTTTATAAAACATCAGAGGATTTTATCTTTAAGTAAAAATTTAGATAAGATATCAATACTTTGTTCCAATCTTTTTTCTTGTACAGTGAATAATGAAATATATTAATATTTACCTTGGAATAAAATGCTACTCAATTTTTTTTATTTTATTTAAACAAACTACATGTAAAACATTAGAGCTGAAATATATATTAAATCTATGTTGAATGTTAAGAGCATGTTTATTTCTCACATTCATTTTATTCATCTTTTTAGGAAGATTTACATGCATAACAGTCAATTCTTATTTGTTTATATATCTAACACATAAACTAAAATTAAACTACATCAAAGTTGCTACAAATGAATTACAATTTTCCATGCATGGTTAAAGTAGTATGAGAAGAGAAATAAAAAGGAAGATGAAATCCTAAATAACTCTTGACGAGAAATAGAAGAGAAAAAATGCAGATATTTGAGCTTGAAAAAGTTAAGTATTCTTTCTTATTTTTTTCCAAGGACAATAATCTAAAATAAATTTATAATAAATTTACATGGAAATGTTGCAATATAGCTTAAGGACATAAAACATTGCAAGTCATTTAACGATGGCCTGAGGGGTTCGAGAGAGGAAAGAAACACTTCAGAGAAATCATTAGATGTTAAGGTAAAATCTGAGCAAGCTTGAGAGAGGTTGTTTACCCAAAATTTGAGTTTTTGTGGTGATTGATATGCTTGGTAACAAGTTTTAGTCTATCAGATTTAGTCAAAGATGAGATTAAGAATGAGTTTCATTTGACTGGTTTGATGTTTTTGAACTTTTTAAGCTGAAGGATAGAGTAGGGTAGAAAGGATTTCTAGAAGAAAGTAAAACCATACATCAAGACTCTGTAAGCAATCAAAATAGGCAGACCAACCTAAACATTGAGAAAAACTTCCTCGGTCAAGATGCAAAGGTTTTGTAAAGTTGTTAGTTTGTTGTTCCTCGGTCATGAGATGGTGTGGATATATGTGTTTGAGCTATATATGGTCTCTAATAAAGGGATAATTTGCTTCTATAAATTTTGTTTGAGCGTAAAAATAGAATTGTGCTTGAGAGCAATAGCAGAAGTTCAAACACTATGTAAGACGGTGGGAGATAACGGTTGGTTGGTTAGTAACTGTAATATCCAAATGATTTTGGTTGTGGTAGTAGTTAATGCTATGTATTCAACTTCAATGGATGATCTATCATTTGTAGATTGTTTCTTCACTGACCATGATTTGACGTTATGACGAGGATAGATTCAAAAGCTAAGTATGTATTTGGAATCAGTGTTATTGCTAACCTAATCGGTATATGCATAAACACTTAAAGACGAAACACCAGAAATAATTGGTAGACCGCAGTTGGAAGTAGTATTTTAAATACAAATAAATCATTTTACATGTTGATAGTTTTAAGTGGTCTATGCATATGCTTACTTAGTTAATTGACAATAAAGGTGATGACGGGTCTCGTAATAGTGAGATATTCGGGGGAGCATATAGCCTATTTGTACATATTTGGGTCTGGCATGGGTATAGGTGAGGTTGCATGGTTATGGGGACTAGAGGGAAGTAAAGTTAAAACAGGTTTGGTTTGATGCATGTTTTATGCATCATTTCAATTTTATGAAAAAAAAATATATCATTTTGAAGTGTGTTTTATTTGTAAAACCTAATATAGGACCCAATTGTTTTGAATTGAACAATTTGTTGAATTTATTAGTGAGAGTGCTCGTAACAGCAATGGAGTTTCTCATGTTTAATATATCATCTAAATATACTAATAAGTTAATGAAAATATTATTATGGCAATAAATAAGTACAGAAGTATCAACACTAATTAAAATGAGTTTTTATTATACAAGAAAGTGCAGAAAGTATAATACCATTGCTTAGAAGCTCATTTCAGACCATAAATGATTGCTTACAATTTTCAAATATAATGTGAATGATTAGTGCCAATAAAACTATATGGTTTTGTCATTAAAACAATATCATCAAGTTTCTTGTGTAAGAAAATATCTGAGACATTGAGTTGCTGAATTTCTTATTGTTTAGAGATGACTAAAGCAATGAGCATACAAATAGTGGGAAATTTAGCAACCAAACTGAATGTTTCCTAATAGTCTATTTCTTATTGTTGTGAAAAATCTTGAGCAACGAGTCAGGCTTTGTCTCTTGCTATAGATCCATCTGCATGATGTTTTATTCTAAAATTCTATTTGCGCGCTAATATATTTTGATTTGCATGAGGTGGAACAAGAATTCATGTGTCTTGTTGTTGGAGATCCATAAAATATTCAAAAATTGCTTTACTTTAGTGAGAATGTTGAGCTGCTAGTTTGTAAGCATTAGTTACTTCTATAGATACTGTAATATGTTGAAGATCAAAATTTTGGTTGGTTTTAAAATACATGTTTGATGTTTATTAATAATAAGATGATGTTTGGGTGGTGAAATAATGGGTGGATAATAGATTTGTTCAAGGTTCTAGAGAGCTAATTGTAAAGGTGAATCACACGATGTGTGAGTGTCGGTACTAAAAGGTTGAGGAGTTGCCCGTTGAAAGCTGTCGGTCACTTGAATCGAAATTCCGTCGCCCGCTTCGGAAAGACATTTAATATATATATATATATATATATATATATATATATAATTGAACTCACACTGATC